GCTGTCATGGATACTGAAAGAATACTGTCTGGTAGTGTACAGCAGGAGCATGGAGTAATAAAGACTACTTTACAGCAGTTACAAAGTAACAAGTTCTAAAGTATAAATATACATCTACACTTGGTCTGTAGGCGGAAATCTAAATAGTGCTGAAAGAAATCAAAACAGACCTAACAAATGGAGAAGTATACTGTGACCATATAAAACTGTCAATCCTTCCAGTTTGAGTTACAGATTGAATACGGTTCCAGTAAAAACTTTCGTGGTATATTTTATGGACACAAGGAACTTGACACCAAAATTTAGATGGAAATATAAAGAAATGAGAGTATGTAAAAGTTTTAGAAAAGAAGAATAAAATGAAAGGATTATGAAAAAAAAAAAAAGTATTTTTTCATGTGAAAGGCAGCTGATATTACCTTGGCAAATTAGTTCCTGTAGGCTTTCCTGGTGCGGCTGGTTTCCGGTTGGGGCAGTAGAAATTCTCATACAGAATGGGTGCTAAAAGAAGCATTAAGAGACAAAACAGTAAGAAGAGGACTGGCCTGAAAGCTCAGCAGACTAAGGTGCCTGCTTAGGCAGAGCATAGTGGCCGGGGTTCGACCCCTGGCGCTGTGACAGCCCCACTCCCAGGGCACATTGAGACAGAGACTGATACTGGGCGTGGTGGCACACACCCATAATCCCAGTGCTTGGAAGGCTGAAAACAGGAGGATCACTGAGTCTGATCTACGTAGTGAGACCCTGTAGACCCTGCTGTAAATACAAGGGAAAAAAAAAAACCTAACAAACAAAAAAAACCATTAAGAAGAACATGCTACCATTTGGACCTAGAACATTCCCCCAAAAGTCTATATGGGTTGGAGGCCTGGTTCCCAGCTGCGCACTACTGAGAGGTAGCAAAACCTTTAAGAGGCAGGCTGTGGTGGGAGGCCTTCAGGTCACCATGGGCATGGCCTCATAGGGGGCTGTGGCAGCCTGGTGTTTTCCTTCTTTACTCTTTTACATCTTGGCCATGAGATGAACGATTTGCTTTGCCACATCCTGACTACTCCATACCCTGCCCCCCAGCACAGGCCCCTCTGCAAAATGGGCAATCCACCATGGGCTGAAACCTCAGAACTGTAAGCCAAAATAAACCTCTTCTCTTACAATAATTTATCTGAGGTATTTGTCACAGTAACAGAAAATAACAAGCAGGTATCTTACATATTCAACAACACTGAACAAGAAAGACAAATACAACCATAGAACTGTTTACACAGCCCTGCCCACCATGCCACCCCAGTCACCTGGTGGACTCTGGCCAGTTTTTCGTTGATTTACAAAGTACTCGATGTCTTTCTCAATGCTGCACATTTCTAAACTCTTACGGACTTGTTCATACATCTAACGAAAAGACAAATAAGTAAAGGTAGGTTGATGATACTTGTGATATA